GAAAAAAGAGAAAAAGGGTGTGGGGGGGGGGGGGGGGGGGGGGTAACGAGCTCGCGAAGAAAGAGAAAAGGGATAAAGAAACAACGCGCAGGATAAACCGAAGATACAAGAGAATATAGTGCTTAGTGCTGCTTCGGTAGTCTTCAGGAATAAGAGACGGAAATGTGGTCAGTTACCTCTAGAATAAATAATTGCGACTAAGGAGAGATATAGATAGGGAGAGGGAGAGGGAGAGAGAGAGAGAGAGTGAGAGAGAAACATTTTGCCAAAGCGGCGTCGACAGGATGTTACGTTTTTACCCCGTCGCGGCAAAAGAGGCAACCTTTTGAATTATGTGTTCTAGGACAACGGATTCATTCATTTTGCCGAAGAAAAAAAAGCCCATATAATTTTAACGCGCCAACAACGAAGAGAATTTGGGATTGTACATTAGTGTAGAAATAGAAAAAAATGCGCGGATTTAAAAATTAAATTACGACAATCGTGACGTAAAAATTGCATTATTAATTATTAATTTCAGAGCTGAAATTTATTATATAGTTTATTATCGTTATAATGATTTTTGACAAAATGCCCAACAAATCAGTATTTAATGAATGATGAGACAACGAAACGAAGAAACTTGTTATCCGATCGATTATGTGGTAAATGAAAGATCTTCGAATAATAATCATTTATCGTAAAAAAGAAAATTAGCACATCCAAACAATCAATTATGGCGTGAAAGATAACATCATCGCCATACTTATTTATACTATTTTACTAATTTCAATTTCTATATTAATACCGTAATAAAATTATCGTCCTTTTGCGAACGACTTATTATTCACTTTTACTTAAACAGAAACAAAAAACAAAGTTTAATTTATGATGCAATTTAGATGCCTGAAAATTAGAAAATAGCCGGCTATGAAAATATTACGTACGAATAAATCCTTAAGTGTAGGAATTTTGACTCTTTGACTAGCTTTCGAGAAATTCGCAAGACCTTAAATAGATTAACGAATCACTCGATTAATTTCTTTTTTCACCTCATCTTTCCCAATTACGTTTAAAAAGTTGTGAGCTCTCATAATTGATTCATTGAGGACTAATTAGTTTGTCGGTTTTATTAATTTTTTGCGCGCACTTCAAATCACTTGGAAAAGAGAAAGAACGATTTGAAAAAAATCCCACCGACGTTATTCACAAGCCAAACATTAAACAGTGCGTGTATTATAATGCCTATTGTAGTTAAAGAAAGACACGAAATAGGTCGAAAAGAAATTGCAAAACTTATAATTAATCCACTCTAACCTCCCCCCCCCCTCTCCGTGACTCCGTGTACGAAGTAAACTAACCGGAAATTATAGAGTGTTAAGTCTCTGAGAGAGTACCGAGGACGAAAGTTAAGTACTTGTTTGCAATTGCCAAAGCCCCGTTGCAAGAAACGCTCGCGAGGTGTTGAAGCGAGGCCCTTTCCCACCCACCCACCCTTCTCATTCGTCAACCACC